ATCCTATTCTATCCTATCCTATCCTATCCTATCCGTATCCTGCCTATCTGGTCATTGCGACAACTCTAGGCAGCTTACAACACAAAATACATGAACAGATGTATTCATTGGTTGGTTGCTTTTGACATTAAAAACACTCGACCCAAATCACTGTGTTTGATTTGCATCAGTGAACTTTAGCAGGTTATTAGTTGGGCTTCCCTTTGTGGTTTGCTTTATATCCTAATAACAGAATGCGCTGCCTTGGACCACCTCTCTCATTCCTCGAGTTCTACAGTATGTGATGGCATGACTACATTGCATTTCAGATAAAGTTCAAAGGTGCTAAAAACACTTTTTCATTCTTTCATTATACTGGTTTGCACTGTCTGGAAGAAAGCATGCTCATTTTCATAGGATTATTAGAACGAATTGAATTTTTGACTTAAGATTCTTCCTGCCCAACAACTGCAGAGTTTACCTTAGTAGAAGATCAAAACCAACAGTCTACCAAACACCCATTTCAATCTATAAATCAAGGGTTCCCACAATGCACACACAAGGTAGCAATCTACTCTACTCATATCTTAATGGGTTCTGAGGAGAAATGTCCTTTGTTACCAAGAACAATCATCCTTAAATCAAAGTTGCAATATAGCTGGGAACAGGGCCAGGCAACCAGCTATGTAACATTTAAACTCAAAGCTTCTGGACTAAGATGACAACTCCATAAATCTTTCTCAGAGGGAGGAAGGCAGGGAGGGAGAACTCACACAGAAATGTTCTAGCATTTTACACGTAAAGACCTACGTATCTGCTTTTAAAATTACACACCTCAAAGACCTTCAAAGCATTTTTCTCTGGAACAAATCTTTAATGAAAAGGTCATATTCTATTAATACAATGGCACAGTCAGATCAAACTAATTTATGCTCTTTCCTGCATTTGACAGACGCTGAGATACCCATTGCCAAATGAAGACGTTATACTCATGGCTCATGCCTTTCCAACATCGAAGCAGCTGCAGCAGCAACTCCATTCCAGTTTTCAGTCTGTGCTTTCTAAGACACTGAACATATTTTGGTGGCAGGGTTTGATATCTCTGATAGCTCCTGTAAAATGCAGACTAAAACCTACAATTGATTTGTAGCTCTCCTGAAATGGAGTAAACAGCCACCGCTGCCCTCAGGGTAAATGCCTAGAGTACATTTTATTTGTGGTTTACCTTGATATCCCTTCTGCTAGTACAAAAGAAGCCAGCCTATAGCAACATGCCATGTGAAATGTTGAAGAAAGCACAAACACACCTTTGCCTGAATCTCAAACATAACTTTGCTAACACGAACATTTACAGATCAATTCCTTATTCCAGAAGTATTACACAAGACTCTCATTTCAGCAGCTGGCACTGATGTATTATGATGGTGTTTTAAGAACCGATTCCTAATTGTGAGCATACTGACATTCAAAAAACAAAACAAAAAAGCCAGTGTGGGAAACTATCCGCAAACATTTCCCTGTTTTGTAGAGATCTCGATCCCTCCTAGACTAAGAGCAGCAGTGTATGTTTATGTGCATATGGATGTCAGAGTGTGAGAGAGGAAGTCAGCAGGAACACGCTGGGGGTATCCTGAGTATTTCAGCCTTGATTATCCCATCACCCCTATTGTTGGTCTTCCTTTTCTATGATGGCAGGCTTGTTATACAATGCTCAGCAATGTGCCCAGGTTTTTAATTCAAAAGCATAAAATGGTATATAAACCACTGTAATTGATTCTACCCCTCTGAGGTTGAAATCCTCTTGCTTTGGGTAACAAAAATCATACCAGTCCACATCTACCCTAAAATGAAAAGTCCCTAGCACTGTTCTCAGGGGCATGTGCTGATGGCAGCTTGATGTGTGTGCTTCCTTCTCAGAATCATGGTGGGAACTTTTTATTTGGTAGGCAGGAACAGACTGAAAGTTACACATTTTCTTACACTAACACAACATATAATTAAGTGAAAAACTACAAGCACTGTGAAGCTTTTCTTCTACATTTCAATTTTTGAAAGTTTTGCATTTGTAAACAGTAGAGATAATACATTCTCAGACATATTTAGAGCAATGACATTAGAACTATGTACAGAACTAACAACAAAGAGTATTGGGGCATATTAAATAGTTTATTTGTTCTATTTTTTTCCTAAATGACAGCTTGTTTTTTCAGATGTGTGAACCTAGGTCTTACTTGCTTCAGCCACCTAGCAGCTGTGGTCCTCAAATGCATGTCTCAAGTAAAATCTGCTGGCTTTTAAGATGCCACAAGACTCTTCGTTGTTTTGGTGCAAGAGATCAGCATGACTACCCCTCCGGAATCAAATGAGCTGCTACTATACAAATTCAAGGCCTTTGAGAATTCAGACTATACCCCTTAAGAAATAAAATAGCAGACCACTGGAGAGAGAAACAACAATTCATTGCAAAACTTACAAGGACTGCAGTCCACGGAGTCCCCTGATGGCCTCATTAGGAACCGTTTTCAACTGGTTGTTCTGCAAAGAGCTGTAAAAAGGAAAGAGTATTAGCTGTGCAAATAGATTTGCAGCTCTCTTTCAAGACACACTGTTAAATTCTTTAGTTTCTTCATCTTTCATGTTTGTCTCCACAAATGTTCTGGAATTTAGAAATAATATGTACAGTATATCCAGGGCTTGAAATTTTTTAGAATGTCTCATCAGTCAGTCAAAAATTTCACCAGTTAGCATGACCTGACTACAGCCTTGCAATTTATGTTAACAAATTTAAACTAGGCACTTGTTCACTTTTATTTCTACGTAACAATGCATACAAACCCAAAATAAATACACCTCAGACCTGGGTTGCTTTATTATCTGTATGCCTGTGGGGTCTTGAAGCTTGTATTTTAAATGTCTTTCTTTTGAATGTCTCCAGAAAAAATAAAACTGAAAGCAAAAGCGTCGGGCCTCTTAAGGAGCCATGGTTTCCCACCCACCCCAGAATGTGTCCTCATTGGGTTGAAATTGGGAGCAGGGAATCTCCATATTCTCCAGCATGGGACTACTCTACATTCTCCTGCATAGTTATATCTCTATATGCCCCTCAAGCTCTCTTCTCACAAGAAGAGGGATGTTTTCCTTTTGCAATGGGAGGGGGAGGGGAGGACTGCAGGATCACTGAGAGTCAAGCACAGGTGGAGGTAACGAGGCAGGGAGGGAGGGAGCTGTGGCTCATCAAGCAGCGTTTTTTCACTCATCACAGATGAGTGGACAAGTGCATTTTTCAAGCCCTGAGTATATCACAGAAGCGAGTATACCCCCTCACATTTCATAAATATTTTAGTATTTCTTTTCATGTGACAACACTGAAGAAATGACACTTGGCTACAACATAAAGCACTGAGTATACAGCTTGTATAACAGTGTAAATGTGCTGTCCCCTCAAAATAACACAACAGACAGCCATTAATGTATAAACCGCTGGCAACAAAAGTGAGTACACTCCTAAGTGACAATGTCCAAATTGGCCCCAGCTAACCATTTTCCCTCCCTGGTGCCATGAGACCCTTTAGTGTCACAAGTCTCAGGTGTGAAGGAGGAGCAGGTGTTATTGCTCTCACTCTCTCAGACTGGCCACTGGAGGTTCCACATGGCACCTCATGGTAACAAACTATCTGAGGATCTTAAAAAATGAATTGTTGCTGTACATAAAGATGGCCTAGGCTATAAGAAGACTGCCGAAACCCTGAAACTGAGTTGCAGCATGGTGGCCAAGGCCATACAGCGGATTAACAGGACAGGTTCCACTCACGACAGGCCTAGCCATGGTAGACGAAAGAAGTTGAGTGCCTGTGCTCAGCGTCATATCCATAGGTTGGCTTTGGGAAATAGACGTATGAGTGCTGCCAGCATTGCTGCAGAGGTTGAAGGGGTGGGGAGTCAGTCTGTCAGTGCTCAGACGATACGCTGCATCAAATTGGTCTCCAGGGCTGTCATCCCAGAAGGAAGCCTTTTCTAAAGATGATGCACAAGAAAGCTCACATACGGTTTGCTGCAGATAAGCAAACTAAGTACATGGATTTCTGGAACCATGTCCTGTGGTCCAATGAGACCAAGATAAACTTATTTGGTTCAGATGGTGTCAAGCGTGTGTGGGGCAACCAGGTGAAGAGTACAAAGACAAGTGTGTCATGCCTACAGTCAAGCATGGTGGTGGGAGTATCATGGTCTGGGGCTGCATGAGTGATGTTGGCACTGGGGAGCTACAGTTCATTGAGAGAACCATGAATCCAACATGTACTGTGACATACTGAAGCAGAGCATGATCCCCTCCCTTCAGAGACTGGGCCGCAGGGCAATATTCCAACATGATAACGACATTAATGGCTGTGTGTTATGTTATTTGGAGGGGATAGCACATTTACACTGTTATACAAGCTACCAGCTCTGTGATTTCGTGATGGAGGAGTGGAAGAGGACTCCAGTGGCAACCTGTGAAGCTCTGGTGAACTCTATGCCCAAGAGTACTGGAAAATAATTGTGGCCACACAAAATATTGACACTTTGTGCCCAATTTGGACTTTGTCATCAAGGGTGTACTCACTTTTGTTGCCAGCAGTTTCTAAATTAATGTCTCTGTGTTGTGTTATTTTGAGGGGACAGCACATTTACACTATTATATAAGCTCTACACTCACTGCTTTACATTGTACCCAAGTGTCATTTCTTCAGTGTTGTCACATGAAAAGATATACTAAAATATTTATGAAATGTGATGGGGTGTACTCACTTCTGTAATATACTGTAGATATAACTGTATATGTATATATCTATAGGTGGATACTTCTGAGGTGTGCAAGATGGATGGAGAGAGAGTTATATAGTTATGTATGTATGTATGTATGTATGTATGTATGTATGTATGTATGTATGTATGTATGTATGTATGTATGTATGTATGTATGTGTGTGTGTATGTATGTATGTATGTGTACACACACAAACACATGTACAAAGCCACACGCACACATATGAATTCCCAAATACCTGTGGAGACGAACATGAGAGGTAGAAGATGAATTACATACAATTTTTATACATATATAAAGTCTGAAGAGCATAAAACATATTTTCTTGCATATACAGAATTATGGCTTAATTTGTGGTAACTTATAGAAGCAAAACCAGGTGAAGGTTGACCTGTAAAGGAAGCGGTTTGTGAAACAAAGCTTCTACAAAATTCTGGGGTGGGGGTGAGGTTTAAACTTGCCATCACAAATCTTTAGAGTGGATTGTGATTTTGGACTGGCACAGTTTAAAAAAAAACCTTCACTGCATGTTACTGCACGCAAAGAGCTTACTACAAAGCCGTTTTTATGCAGTTATAATTCAAACTGACACTGTGACACTTTGGGCATATGTACACTGCCCTTCAAACCATATGGCTGATCTTCATTTGAGTACAGCAATAAGCATTTAAACCAAGTTATAATAATCTTCTATGTCTGTGGCACCAGAAAGATTAATGATCCATCTGAATTTTTTTTTTTAAATGACTACACGTTGGAGATTTGCTATTACTGGCCCTGTGCTACCCAGAAAGCTAGGAAACACACAATTTTGTTCATTCTATCAGTGAGTATGCTGACTTAACAAAAAAGGAAGAGGAGAGTCACCCCATGAACCTCTGAAATTTGATTACTTACAGAACTTTGAGTTCCTTCAACCCAGACAAGGCCTTTGGATGAATAAAAGCAAGGTCATTGCCAGCCAGCCGTCTGGAAAAGATTGCAGTAATAATAACAGACCATGAAAATACAGCATATTTCTATTTGTCCAATAGATTAAACCATCTGTGCATCAAAATGTTCAAGCAACTGAGGTACTCCAAACTTGATTATGCTGCATTTATGCTTCATATCCTCTAGAACTTATTTAGCTCATACATTTTAAGAAATCATAATGAATGGAATTAGCACAGTCTACATTTGCAACAGTGATATCAACAGCAATATCAAGCTACAATAATCATATTATAACTTGTATCCTATTGTCATAACCCTACATGAGACGAAGCAGCCTGTAACTCCATAGCCACTTTCGAATAGGTCCTGGGCAACCTTTCAAGCCAAGATAGTTATATTTATTCCTGCATGAAACAAGACACTTTCCACTTAGAAACAGTCACTGCTTTAAAATTAAATGAAAACAGTGCAGATGTGTTATTTAAATCAAGTTTGTAACAATGTTCCATTGTTTATTGCAGATTTCATCCTACTGTTTCTTCTCTTCTGTAGGCAGGAACACTGGAAGCTGTCTTATACTAAATCATATCACTTGTTCATCTAGCCTGAAGTAGTGCTGTCTACTTTGATTGGTAGTAATCTTGAGGGCTTTGGGCAGGATTTCCTCCTGATCCTACCTGGCGATCCTTGATGCTTTCTCATCCAAATTCTTAACAGGCCAACCCTGCTTAGCTTCAGAATATACTTGGGATGCGTATCTTTGTGAATAACTATCTTCTAGGCAGTGGAAGACAGGAAGGCCTGGCGTGCTCTGGTCCATGGGGTCACGAAGAGTTGGACACGACTAAACGACTAAACAACGACATACATATAGCACATTCTTTGTATATTTGAAAGATTTTACCACCATCCTGTAGGACAGGAAATCCTGTCCTTCTTAAATAACTACTATGTATTCAAATCACTGCTTTATATGACCAGTCAAAACATAATGAGCCACTATAGCTTGCCATGATGTCCAAATGGAGGGCCTGCGGTTTTGTTCAAACAAGAAGTGAGTAGGACCTGTGGCCCTCCAAATGATGTTGAATCACAACTACTAACAGCCATGGTCAGCAGAGATAATGATGAGGGATGATGGGAGCTGCAGTCCAGCAACATGTTCTGTGTTCTTCAAATCTTCTAAAATAAGTAGTAGCTAGGATCTGAAAGCATCGTGTATTTTAAACAAGTCATAGTTCCTTGAGTTGAGAGTCACAGGGCACTGTTGATAGTTTAAAAGCTAAAGTGGAAAATTCTAACCTCCTCCCGAAAAAGGAAACAAAAGGGTGTTTAAACTTAAGACTCACCACTGTCAGTTCACAAGGTGAGTGGACGACTCTATTGTACAATTTATGTGCATATATTCCTGGCACAAGGAAAAGAATGCTCATTTATATATCCAGACAGGCCACACCAAAACAGAAACAGCTTTGAAATGGAGCTCCCCATTTATCTTCTCTATGTATTCTTTTCAAACATTTATTCTGTAGTAAATCTTTGTTGTTATATGGTCCAACTTCTGTCAACTACTAATGCTTACAGCACTAAATGTTTCATTTAGGCACGAGATAAGAAAAGGCTGAACATCTGGTAATCTCTGACTGCCCACAGGAATAAAAGATCATTTTCAGTTAAATCAGTTGCTTCCTTGTTTACTTTAATGCCTCGGCTGGGATCTGAAGATGCCAGTATAGATTACAGAATACAAGAGGGGGGAAATTACAATGGGAATGTTGTTACAAAGTATGTCTTATTAGAACACAGATAGAGTTCTAGCTCCTGTCCTCTGAAGATGCCGGCCACAGAGACTGACTGGCAAAACGTTAGAAAGAAAAACCTCCAAAACACGGCCAAACAGCCCAAAAAACCTACAACAACCATAAGTTTTATTAGACTTCGAAACTCTGAACAACATATTGAAACCATATTTCAGAGAAACATAAAACATAAAGTGATAAATCATCTGCACAAACCACCTGGATTTCAGAAGAAGGGTGCAATGGGCAGAAGAAGAAATAGTTTATGTTGATTTATGTTGTGTTCACCTCCAATAAGTACACTCTGCATTACCTAGTACAGAACTAATTTGCGAACACTATACATTTTCTTAACTTGAAGTGACAGAAGAATTAAATTGTAAAAATATGGGTCAACTGTTTTAAACTTCAGACATACAGAAAAGGACTTGTACCACACAACAAGAATCACAAAGTTATGTGTTTCTAATCCGTATCCTCCTTTTTTTTTGTTTAGGAAGTGAAAAATCAAAGCTTCCGAAACACCAAAGCACTCATTTATAAGAAAAAATGAGTTTCTTCTCTGGTGACATTGTGCTGGAACTTTTCTGCTTCAATTCCACATTGAAAGAATTTTGCAGACCTGCTTCTAGCAGTTTAATATTTTTATCCAAAATAGCCCACCAATATTTCTTTAGCTTAAAAAAAAAAAAGACATTGCCAGCCCAGAAATTGGATAAAATGTGATTCAAAAACATTGTCTCTGGTAGATATCTAATGAAGTGCAATGGGTAGAAACGGCACAATATTGCTTCAATTCCACATTGAAAGAATTTTGCAGACCTGCTTCTAGCAGTTTAATATTTTTATCCAAAATAGCCCACCAATATTTCTTTAGCTTAAAAAAAAAAAAGACATTGCCAGCCCAGAAATTGGATAAAATGTGATTCAAAAACATTGTCTCTGGTAGATATCTAATGAAGTGCAATGGGTAGAAACGGCACAATATTTAATATTATATTAAAGAGGTAAGGAATTAGGGGTCAAAGAAAGGAAGAGGAGAAGGATTAACATCAGGTGAGGTTGTAGATTGTATTAGGAGAAGTGGCTCTGAATCATGATGCAAAAAAAGAAGAAGGTTGGTTCATGAGTTGTTTTAATTGCTCTCAAGATACGTTAGAGCCGAGGCATAACCTGATTAGGAGACAAATGGTGCAAAGAGATTTGTCAGAATTGCGTGTGCTTGTAGAAGGCACTGTTAAACACAGGTAAATTTGATTTTACAGAATAAGGCATGAAATATAATTAAATGAAATGGGTGTTTTGGATTAGGGTTGATTTTAAAAGTAACTTTCTGTTTCAGTAAGTTTTTGAAACTTTGACAAAGATTTGCTGTACATTTTTAAAAGGCCCATTTTTACAGGATATCATTAATATCATCTTAGTGCATGCTGGGAACAGGTGTCTTCAATGTTTCAATGCTAAGCAAAGTTTGTGTGATTTCAGAAGGTGAATAGAGTGCCTACTTCAAGCTTACTACTGCTTATTCTGATTGTTGTAGCTAACAGAAACTCTAATCTATTATAACTGTTTTTTCTCCTGCTGGCAATCTTCCAGGAAACAGGATACAACTGGTTACATGTGCAAAAGCCTTCCTAGTCAATTTGGCACATTCATACAGCAGCCTCTGAGAGAAGGCCTCTTTATTAAAACATCTTCAACAAAGCTTTCCCAGAAAATATTTAACCCCATTTTAAATAAAGTGAGAATGATGCAACATAAAAGTGAGGAAATCATCACTGAATCAGTTTCATTTCAAAGCTAACCAAAATAGGAACTTTTCAGGAACTCCAGACTAGAGATGGGCACACATTTTTAAAAAGGAATTGTAAAAATTGCTAATTCATTAATCTGTATTCATGCAAATCAATGCCTCCAATGAATACAAATCAATAACGTTTATTGTTTTTTTTATTCATTCGTTTGGCTAAGAAAAGAATCACCAGCACCTAGAGACACCAACATGGCAGAGAAGCTTCCCTAGACTGTCCTCTATATTCTGTCCAGGTTTGGTGAAAATCAGGTTTTGGATGTCTGCATTATAGACCCACAAAGAGTCCTCTCCAGGAAAGTTCCCCTCAGGCACCTAAAGACACCAAAATCTTCCATCCAAGTTTGGGGAAGATTAGGTTTCCCCTAATCTTCCTAAGGAAAAGGCACTTTCCTGCAGGGACCACTTTGTGAGTGTCTGAAACCTATTCGGCAGCAAACTTGGTTGGATTGTAGAGGAGAGTCAGAGAAAGCTTCTCTGGAGGTTTGGTGTCTCTAGGTGCACGGGTGAGGACTTTCATGGGCGGGTTCTTTGTGGGTGTATAACTCGGACATTCAAAACCCACTCCACCAAACATGCAGGGCTTGTAGAGGAGAGTCAGAAGAAGCTCCCAGGACATTTTGGTGTCTCTAGGTGCCTGGGCGGCTGTTTTACAGGGTTTTAAAGTAAAAAATGAATTGACAAATCAATTTATCATGAAAAAATAATAATAAATTTGTGATCTGTGATTTGTCAACCTTGATGAATCATGAATCAAAACAAATCACCACTTTTCCAAGTCATGCCCGTCTCTTCTCCAGACAGATTTTTCAACTAAATTGTACTGATGGATAGCACAGTGGTTTAGGTATCTGACTGTGGAGCCAGAGATTGGGCATAGAGATGGGCACAACGTAAGTCATGCTATGTCATACAGTATGAAGCTGTCGGCATGGCACTACAGGTGCCACACAGACCCTCTTCCCCACCCCTCAGGTCAGTGGGCCCACTCACCATCCGTTGTGCTATGCTGGGGTCCTCCTTCACAGGCAGTGCTCCAGACTGGGCAGGAGCTTGGGCTGCCCTGCCCTCCCATCCTCAGCTATGTGGGAAGAATCCCCATCCCACATCCTTACTGGAGTGGTTGGCAGCCAGAGGAGGTGGGGAAGGGCAGCCTGAGCTCCTATCCAGACTGAAGGAGGGTCCCGGTGGTGTGCAACAGATGGTGAATCGGCCAGCCAGCCCAGGGTGGATGAGAGGAAGGTCTGCATGACATTTATGGTGCCGCCCTGACAGCTTCGAATGACACAGTGTGACTTAAGTCAGGCCCATCTCTAGCTGGGAGTTTGATTCCACACTATGCCTCCTGCCAGTAGAGCCAGACTACGTAGCTTTGGGCAAGCTGCACATTTCCAGGGCGCCCTCCAGAAGACAGGAATGGCAAA